TTAGCTCTTACCACAGACCTGGTTCCAACTTTCCAGGGAAAGGAAATCTCTAGAGATTTTATCTCTCTTAGAAACTAGTGGTGTCAGAAGCAGATGCTTAAGAGTCATAATGTGTTGAATCAAAAAGTATATTGCTTATACAGAATTATCTACATCCAGATTGTGGTGACCTCTTCTCCGTCCGATTTCCACATAGCAATTAAGCATCTATTCCATTACTTCAAACATTTGGAGGCAGCATCTGGAATTATTTCTATGAGTATCTGTGAGATCTATCTATCTATTTATGTCTAACTATGTCTATTAAATTTGTTAACTATCTTTATAGCATGATATTTTGCTATACAAGAACCATTTTAAGCAATGGGTATCGCATGGTGAATGTATGCTTATACAAAGAGTGTCAGGCATCCAACAGTGTCATGCATTAAGGTTTCAACAAGAGAGTTTGGGACTGGAAATGTGGAATTAATATTTCTATTTTCTCTTAATGCAAAGTAAAATTTCTGTTTTTTTCATTGCTTCTCAGGCTGTCTATTTTTAAAAATAATTTTCTATTACGACCTTGTAGATAAATATGAAGTTTTTGGATTGTCAAGAACTAAATTCTCTTTGAGCAACTACTTTTAGATACAGTCTAGAGCAGGGGTGTCAAACAGGCGTGCCCTGTGGGCTGGATGTGTAATGGGTAGACCACTCCCACCCCAGCTCCGCAAAGGGAAAAAAGTCACGATACGTCACGTGGCAGCAACTTGATGCCGTGAGTTTGACACCCGTGGTCTAGAGGCAAGTAGACCAGGATCAGAATTTTCTCCATGTTTCTCTGCTTTCATTACCTCTTTCCTCTATGTACAAATGCACACACATATTTGGCCTTTATATAAACCTAATCTTTTTCTATTCCTGCTCTGTGAGGCTTGAAGGAATTGAAATAAGTGAGAAGACAAAGAATTCTTTTAGAATACTCAGTGCTCCAAAATTGTCTTCCAGGTGACAGTACGTTTTGAGGTGGAGATCTTTTGAACATGAATCTTAAAATGATAACTATAAAATTGCATACCAGAACTTTTCCAAATCAATGCAAGATTGGTAGTATACAGATATGGGTTGCTCCCGGTTCAGCCTAGTTCAGCCGAACCGGTAGTGGCAGCAGCAGGAGGCTCTGCTCACCCTCCAGATGCTTCTGCGCATGTGCAGAAGCATTGGGTGCATGCACAAGTACAGGCAAACCTGTAATAAACCAGTTAGCAACCCACCACTGGTAGTATCCTATTACAAAAGTCCAATTGAATGTTGATGGGTGCATAATGGGGGAATAAAGAAAAAATAGTTGTAAGTAGTTCATAAAATGTAGCACCATGAACTAGAAGAAAAATGTTAAATATTTGTGGTGGGGAAATGATTGATTGTTATTATTTTCAATGAATAGTCAAAGTTAAACATCGGGAAAATACAAAGATTTATAAAGGATGCGAACCAATACCGTAGGTTAGTTTTCTATTTCCTGAAAATTATCCCTTTCTTCTCTTGTGCCATTGGTAAAAAAACAGAAGACTAATTCAAAGCATTTAAAAAGAAAATACATAATGACAGCATGCAAGTGTCAGCAAAAGCCTCCCCCTGACAGATAAGGGAAAGAGGTATATGACCCTACACTTTCAGAATCAACCAGAAAGGAATCCCCTCCCAGACTAAACGTGTGTGTGTGTGTGCGTGTGTGTGTGTTTCGCTCCTATACTTTGCAATAGATAAGTGCAACAGACCGTTTGGAATTCTGAAATCCAATGTGCTCTAATGTGCTTCCAGCAGCCCTTTGGGGCCGGTGTTCCTGTTCACGGTTATCACAAGGAAGCTCCACTCTGTTAAGTGGAGATTACTTTCAGGAAAACAATTCGCGGACTCGCCGCCTGCCTTATGCACTCAGAGCTTCAAAAACAAGTCCCAGATAGACGCCAATAAGCGACGGGGCTGCAGGTTCCGGGAGATTGAAGCACTCCGCTGTCCCCTCAGGGAAAGAGGAGGCAACCACCAGGAGGAGCCCCAGCACCCGCCAGACCACACAGCAAAAAGGATGCAATGAGCCCATCCGAACTGAGGCACGAGCCGCCACCACCGCAATTCCATCTCCACCGCCGCCTCCCTCCCGTCCATCACACATTTCCTTCTGCGGAGGCCGAATCTACCCCCGAGACGCTCCCGCCTTTTATTCATGACCACCTTTAAGTTGCTCGTGCGGTGATTGGCTTGGCCTGCTGAAAGACAGAACTGGCTTGGCAGCACAGCCACTCCTTGACAAGCTTGAACTGGGTCAGGGGTTGCTAGTGGTGGTGGCGGGGGAGGATTTTTACCTGCCGGGCTTGTCAATTCCTCTTGGTCCTGAATTGCATGGCATCATTTCGGCTTCATTGCTCACCCCGGCTGGGCAGTTTCATTTTGGGGGAAGGCGGCTGGTAGAGCCGAGGATTTATCATGCTAGAAAACACTGCGCAGCAGTTGGAAACTGCTGCGCGGCATTTTCTTGACAAGTGCGTGGCCGCGCAGCCGCGCAACTTAGAGGGAACAGTGCCGCCCACCCACCTGGATGCTTCTGCACATGCGCAGAAGTGTTGCATAGCAACCCACCTCTGCCTGTGTGTGAGTAGAACATAGAATTCTTTGTCAATAGATTTTCTGAGTTGATGAAAAATAGAAAGCCTTATTCTATTTTTAAAAAGATATGGATTATCTTGGTTGAAATATATCAAATGAGTTTTTTTTCAGCTGCAATAGACTCTAGAACTTATTATATAATTCATCCAAAGATAAAATTCTCTACTTACACTTTTTTTTACCATTCTTGATGTTATCAACATATAAATAATAAACTCTTTAAATTTTATGTTTTTTTCAATGAATTTTCCTAACAAATTTTATTTTGGACCTAGTTTGATTACTGACTGATAATTTTACCCATATCTCTAAATACCAAACCTCATAATTTTCTGTTCCTTGGCCATATCCACCACAGAAGAAACTGTGGCTTTCTGATTTAGTTATTCTAAGCAGACCATAACATATTTTAGTTATATATGTCAGTTTAAATTGACTCATGTATCATCTCTAAATTATTTTGATGTAATTTTATTTAATTTGGCCAAAAAATGAGAATGTTTGCTTGGAAATCCAAGTCTTATTCCAATCCCCATCTTCAGTGACTGTCAGTAATTTTAACCCATCCCATGTCAGAATCTTATATTCAAGAAAAAAGTTTAGAGATTCTATGCTTACTCTTTTGTTAACACTGATATCTTAAATTATTTTTTCATATCTGTTAAAATGCCTTTTAATAACAGATTATATTGAGAGCAGGAAAAGGATCAGATTTCTATTAAATTAAAACAGACAGGTTTAACACTAGAAAACAAACATCCTCAAACTTTCCTTACAATATATAACTTTGTCCTTTCATTCCCTATACATTTTTTCACTAAAATGATGAGATATAACTAATAAAAACAATGAAATGGAAAGAAATGGGCAAGACTTCCACATTTTCAATTTATTCTTCTAATGGGATCTCTATTTATCTACATTTAGTAAATTCATCTTCATCCAAATTAATACAATTTGTAATGAAATTATTTAGTGCTTTGGCCAAACAAACTGTAAAACTACTTTGATATTTGAGCTAAATTAGTCAGATGATATTCTTTATGAAAATCTGATAGATTGTTTGGTTTTATTTTAGGATTTTCTCCTTTAGATTAAATAATTTGATTTTTTTTCTCGTTAATTAACATTAATATTATATTATAAAGGGAGGTTATATGATCTGTCCATTTAGCAAGGAAATACTATGTTATTTCTCAAGTATACTCTGTTTAAACATATCCTGAGATGTCCTACAATTTGATTACCTAAAAATTTAGACCACAGCTTTCATCAATTCATTTAGATCTGTTGTGTTCTTTGCAACATATGAGATGATACAAGATCAATATCTGGAATAAGCTAATATAGAGCTTTAATTATCTCTGTGTAAATCCTATAGATAAATCTTATACCTTGTGATTTCCTCCACACAGGAATTAGGTGGTGATATTCTGAGTGATATTGTTTGTGAACATTCTTCATTGCCAATTGGGGTTTATTTTTAATTGTATTTCAAAAGTAACTATCCATTCAAATACTTGAGACAGACATTGTGATTAATTATATTAAAATATGGTATACATCACAATGATCAATCTACTTACAGAAGCTTTCTGTACTAGCTATTATAACAAGCATTCAAACTGATTGAAAAACTAAATTTATTTTATTTTCCCAGTCTTGAATGTGAACAATTACATTAAACACTGTCAATTTATTTACCTTGTGTGAATCTGATACTGCAGAAGTATACAATTGGAATTTGTTTTTTTGATTCAGAAAATCTAGATCTTTATACTCTGAATAATTTAAGCTCCCAAAATGCATGCACTTTTGCTTTTCAAGCATGAGTTATAATTTAATTAAAACTTCTGGTGCATTACTAGCTATTTAAATATTTAAATGTTCCATGGATCACTTTTGATTATCTGCTCTCATGGATTTCCTGAGGATGTCAGATTTTTAAGATTCCCAAAGTTATACTTGGTATTGTCTGTGGATTCAACAGGGATTATGATAATTATATACATCCATTTGTATTAGCATAGGAGATAAACTTTGGGGAGACTTAATGGGTATGTCTCAGTGACAGCTAGCAAAGAACATTTGGCATGATTAAGGATAGATTTGAACATACTTGAAAATATATTCTCATTATGGATGCCCAATGGAAGTTGCACTACAAATGTTAAATTCCCCAGAAGAAGTGTTATGTGGCAGGGAAGCTTTGAAATCCACTGTGGCTGTCATCCAATTTATTCTGTTCTCTTTATGACTTTCCACTGTCAGATTCATTTTATGATATCCAACTTAGCTCCCTGTGTGCATTGAAAAGAGGCAACCTGTTGGTTCTTTTCCTTGTATTTCAGATTGTCCGAAGATACATCAAGGAATGGCTTGAGAGAAAGAAGCCTCCATTTGGTGCTATCAGCAGTTGTGTACTCTTGATGATCATCTATACAACATTCTGTGATACTTTCGCTAATCCAAATATTGATCTTGATAAATTTAGCCTGATCGTAATAGTTTTTATAAGTAAGTACTATTTGTGCTTTGGGCATTTTTCAAAGATAAAAAACTGTTTAGAAATAGTATAGCCATCTATTTAGTACTTTTAACTGGATGGATGGATGGATGGATGGATGGATGGATGGATGGATGGATGGATGGATGGATGGATGGATGGATGGATGGATAGATAGATAGATA